AAAGAGATCTTTAGAGGTTTCATGAACTCACAAAGAGAACAAAGAGCAAATATTTTTTCATTCATCAAAACTGAAATTACAATGCATGAGGCCTCACATAAATAGGCCAAAATGAAAAAAAAAACAAGAAATGACACAAATGCCCTTCCGGGCTACATAAGCGACTAAATGCCCATAAGGGCAAAAGCGGAAAAACATCAAAATAAAATACGCTACTACATAAAATGACAAAAATACAAGTCATGCTCGTGGCCGTCGAAATCCGGCGTCGAAAATGCTGACGATGTCCTCATCACACCGGCCTCACCATTAATGGAGCCCCATTCAATTCTCAATTAATGCATTGATTACAACTTAATTTGAAATCAAATTTCAAATTGACTTCCCCCCAAAACCTCTCAAATTCTGAATTTAAAATCAGGATTAGCATTAATTTCCCCTCCCTCTCTCTTGAAACCGCCGGCCACACCTTAATGGGCTTCAATTGATTGGCCATGACTTCTCTAGGAAAGAGTTTAACTCATTCCCTGCTGCTGGCCGAAATTTCCAAAGCCCCTCTCCCTAATTTTCTTCCACTAAATCTTCTCCAAATTCAATCCAACGTGGAGCCCTCTTCTTCCGAAGACTGCAGCCTGAAATTCAGCCGATTTCCTTGCTCCCTCAGCCCTTGGAAGACCCATAATTGCTGTTTTGGGAAGATGGAATTGCTGCCCACAAATCCTGGTTGATGCCCAACGGAAGAAGTCCAGCGAGGGAAACTTAAATTCCTACCTCCTAAAACCTTCCAACTGCTGGCCGCTCTTCTACAACTTGTTGTCCACTGATTCTACGAATCTCCTAGCACCTTAGCTTCATCTGGAAGGTTCCAAATGATGTCCAGAATCTGTCCAAATCAGAAACTGCTGCTGTCTTGAAGATCCACACCTTGTCGCGGCTAATCGGTGGTGCGAAGAAGCTCATGGTGGCTGTCCTTGTCGTCCCCAACACTCAAATCATCCCGCAGGAGTGCGTATTTCTCTTGTCTTTGGGTAAAGTCAACATCCGATTCGCTATCTTCATAGTTACATCCTTGAATGTGAATTTATTATCGTCATGAAGATCATATTAATGCTTCTCCGCTAAAGCCTAGTAATTAGAAGAGTTGTGTGAGGGATATTTCATAGCCTAATCTTATTGCTAATATTGGAATCTATTGTTGGAACTATCCATATATGCAATGTTGGATTAAGCTGGCTATCTTTTAAACTTAACTTCTATGCATGTGAGATAACCTAAGCTAGGTAACACTTTAATATTTAACTTATCGTTCAATTCCGCATAAGATCTTGCTTATTATTGCCTCTAAATCTAAACGTGCAAACTTCTTTAAGCAAATCACTTTCACATGGGTTGTTTTACATCACTATGTGTATTAGCGCGATCGGGACGGCACGAGGTTGCTAAAATTGCATGATTCGTGATTATTTTGGAACGATGTGAACGGCAACGCAACAAGAGTAGACATGGGATAAGAAGAGGCCTACACAATAGAAAAGAGAAAATGAAAAAATAATATATTGGAGATGGTGTTGGTTTATAGAATCTAGGTTGACAAGAAAAGTGGATTTGGGCGTAGATCGATTATGGAAAATTATGCACTTAAGAGGTGCTAGCAACGAATTTGGACAAGGAAGAGATAGAGTGTTGACCCACGTACTAGCTACACTAATGATATAAGCAAGAAAATAATTGAAACTCATGTAGGAAACAACATTCGGTAGAAGCAACGCTTCATTAAACTGCTCAAACGACCTCTAAACGTCAAACGGATTGTGTTGGTGCAATCAGAACGTCAAATTTACCTTAAGAGGAAACCCCTCGCAGTTGAATTGAGCGCAGATGATTGGAATCGACGATCAATGCAAGGGTGCTGCGAACTCTTCCCATTCACAAAACGAACTTCGTCGTTGTAATTATATAGAAATGACTATGATAGTGCCTAGGGACCTCGGGCAAGAAAATTGTAATGGGTTTTGAGGCGACGACGCGTAAATCAAGGCGCACAAAAAATGATAAAATAGGATATATATATATATATATACTCCAGTCTTCTCCTCACAGCAGTCGAAATTCCCTTTTCTCATCTCCCTCCTCCCTCTGTTCACGCAAGACACCAAACAGCCCATGCCTTCCTCCCTTTTTGTTCTACCAGCCTCCACTTCAATTCTCCACCACTTGCCTTCCCTCTCCTACACTACAGAAGCCACCGAACTCCAGCATCCACATCCAGCCAAAACAGCCATACAATTTCCTCTACAGCCATTGTACTGGACTGATCTCCCTGCTGTTCAGCACTTGGCCCGTGAACAAATCAGCCCTTTTCCTTCTTGCTATAGCCGAACACTCAACCAAACACTTCCCCAATTCCTCTACCAACTCAGCCCATTAGCCCATGTATAACTCCCTCACAACACCTTACATATCCCTAGCATCCACTTGCCTAAAATAGCAGCCCCTTCACCTTTTGCCACCAAGATCACTACCCACAACCCACTCCCAAAGCCCAACAAATCCCACTTCAACTCCTAGCCCACCTACAGTCAACTACCCCTCTTCTCCCTTCCAGCAACCATCCAAACAGGCCCTCCCTCTCTAATTACTATTAGTAATTTAAATATTAGAAAAAAAAAACAGAGGAAAGAGAAAATAAAAAGGAGGGTGTGTTTTGCGAGATTTGATCTCTCGTTCTTTAGACACTATCGTAGTCGCCTTGCTCGCTAAGGTTTAACGCTCGCTAAACTCTAAACCTCAAATCCCTTGTCGATGCTTGCGGCACAACGAGTAAACCTCCTATGCACACTTTTCTTAGCATGATGGGAGGAATCTTGGTGCGACGTTTGCAACAAATCGGGTAAGCCATGTGAGCGTTTTTCTTAGCATGGCGGGGTAAAATTAAGTAGTTGTACGCGCTTTTATGTTGATGGAAAATTTTGCGAGCTTCGATACAGGTACCCTAAAGACCCATGCATGCCTTTTTTGGTATGGTGGCATTGAAGACCACGGCTGCAGTATCATCTGACACTGGCCATGCACTCTTGGTGAGGTGGGTAGACTTAAACTCCCAAAAATTTTCCATAAATAGGGAAAACACTGGGAGGATGCGGAATTTTTCAGTAACAGGGGACCTTAAGCATAACCTATTACACTAAAATGCAACTAAACAAAACATAAATGCTCATTGAGAATAAAAATTGGAATGTCAAAACATAACTCTTGTTGACTTAAACGAACATAAATGAATAAGCAGGAGATTCATGGTGGACAGAGATTTCACTATATGTGATGATTTGCCTGCAAGCAATGACTGACAAAAATTGTAGGGAATATAATGACCTGCTTACAAGCAATAACATGAAACCTTCAATGGATACTATAGCTTATTTATAATGATTGCATCAGTTGGAATGCAAGTGCCAATAGACAACATAGTAGTATTGCTATGCATATTACAAACCACCTACGAGCATAACAAAAGACTCATAATGTGCACAACTGATTGCCTATGGATGACAACAAAGAATATGCAATGAATGTGATAATTCACTTACGGGCGTGCATAAGAAGATTGTAAGGAATATAGCCTGCCTACAAGCAATATCAATCAACTTGCAAAGAACACATATACTTCCTACGGGCAACAATAGAAAACTTGTTATGCATACGACAATCTGCTTACAGATTAAAGTAGTAGACTTATGATGAATACAGCTTGCCTACATGCAACAATAGAAGACTTGTGATGCACACAACAGTTCCCCCCATTGACAACATTAGAGGATTTGCATTGAATGTAGCTCGCTTAATGGTAACACTAGAGGATATGTACTTAATGCAGCTGGCATATGGGTAACAACAGAGGGTTATAATACTGACATCAGTCAGCCTACAAGCACGAGCAAGGAACTTGCAATGTGATAGTTTGGCTACAGTCGACAACCGAGAACCTGTAATGAATATATCAGCTCTCCTACAGGGAAATACAAGGACCTCTACTAAATAAAGCAGCTAGCCTACAAGCAATAAATGATGTAGTACACACTACAATTCACCTGTAAGCAGAGCAAGGAATTGGTAGTGCACACAAATAGTCTACAAGAAGTAATAGGAGATTCGTAGAAAAGGATGTAACTCACTCACAAGCAAGAGCTATACCTACTAAACAAACATCTCATACGAGCTATGTTGTGATATGATGACTTGAAGGATGCCAATTAACCCCAAAAAAAAAACCTCCTATATGAAACAATTGAAATCTAATACGCCTTCATGTCACCGGATCTGTAACACTCGTACAAGCAGATAGAAGGCGTTTCTTGAATTTTAAATTAAATCTTGCACACTTTTCAATGAAAATCACTTGTACAATTCATTATATTTAAATATTTAAAAGTACCCTCATGCATTATAATATAATTTACTAAATTTAAGCACATTGTCTCGAGGAACGTGTCACTGCTTGGAGAAGCATGCAGTAGCCTCGAGAGATGTGATGTCGCCTCAGGAAGCATGTCGTTATGTCGAGAAATGTATAATATTCCAACAATGTGCATTGAAATAAAAAAAATCATAATGTGCACAACAGACAAATATGTAATGCACCTCACTTTGCATATCTCTTGTAAGTATATTCATAACAAATATAAAAACCTATAAACTTAATATTGATCATTGGTGTGAACAGACTTAACGTTAATACCTGATATAACATAAGACAAGAAAGTAATGATGGGAAATATGTTCCCTCAAAAGATGAGAATATGACAAAAAAGCAAAATTAATGCATCTGCAAATTCTAAAAGCGCAATTCAATGAAATCCCAACTCAATCAAATCAAAAGAAACAATAAATTATAATTTATAACTAAAAAAACTAAATAGTTGAACTGTGAAAATTTTCAAGGTCTGCCCAGGAAATTTGATAGAAAGAGGCATAAAAAATTTAATGGGGCAGAAACAACCAACCTTCCCAAATTTGGATGTTGAAATAATTGATACAACTCGCTTGTTTTCAGTGAAGACATTGCAGTACTTACTGTTCACTGCGATGGGATTCACCTAACAATGCAGAAATAGAGAATAAAAGAAAATAACATTAAAAAATTTGTAAAGGGTATTCGTTTAAAATTAGATGCCAATGGAAAAATACCGTATACAAAGATCCCGGAATATCCACAAAAGCCTCAATAACTCCAGAAACTGGAACATGGAAACGATGGTAATCCTTTCGCCATACAACAGAAGATAAGTTCAAAATTGATGTTTTACAATCGAATAATAAGCAAGAAAATTAGATGAGACAACACCTGGGGTGCTAGTCTAAATATCACTAAAGATCCTTGAATAAAGTTATTGGAGGATAATTCAGCGCCTAAGAGTCCTTGAACTGAAAATTTGCGACCCTGCCAAACGCCAAACAAAGCAAAAAAGTTAATAAATTATGACATCGCATATCTTCAAACTGTTTCTAAGAAACAAAAGCTTGCAGAAACTTAAAACTCCTTGGATTCAAGTTGAAGAGCCTAGCGAGTCCCCTTGAGGTATATATTTACAGAAGTGAATATCATATTAGAAAACAAAAAGTGCAACCATACAGTGGAATTTGCATGAACTTCATGTGCAATCATATGCTAGTGATATATGCAATTTATGATGCACCGACATAAGGATATGGAATGATTAAAAAAATGTAATAAAAAATAAGGAACCTAATATCTCAATTTTCAACAGACATAAGGAGGAAGTTTGAGCTAGAAGTCAAACATATGCGACTGCATGTAAAAGGGTAAGCGAGCTGTGGTTTTGCACAAACCAAATCAAGCGCACAATTTTTGACTAAGTCGCACGAAATTGAGTTGTCCTTAGCAACATTAGAGCTTTAGTATTGATTTAAATTTTATTTGTGATATATTATATAAAAAATAAAATATAGAAAATTTTAGATTTTAAAGTTTTGATATATAAAATAGTTTGTTAAAGTTTAGGTCTTTTGACAATATATATATATATAGTTTGTACATAATCAAAAGATTTAAAAAGGTTATTGAACCCAAATTTTGCTAAATGAAGATGGTTGATATGTTTAAGTAGGAATTTTATTTATTAATAAAATTATATTGAAATTTAATAGTGATTAATTTTATTTTAAAAAATCAGTGCCTTTGAGCCATGAAAATAGTTTTTAAAACATTAAAAAATATTCATTATATAAATGTTATGTTGTAAATAATTAAATTACAAAAATTATATAAATAAAATTGGTTAATTATTTTTTCCTATACCGTGCTCCTCTTCTATATATATATATAAACTGGGATATGAATTGAATTTGAGGTAGAAATTTACTATTAAAGCACAAAGCAAAAGAAGAAAAAAATAGGATAAAAATGATGGTACATAATCAAATGTCAATGATTTTAGGAAAAATGTAATGTTCATAAAATAAATACCAAAAAGAGTTTATCATAAGTTTATTTTTAATATTAACAATTCCCGTAAGAAATTTTCATAAAGACCAGATCATATAATCTTGAATCATAGTCTAAACCTATAGAAATAAATTAAAGTATCACCTTAATCCAGAGTCTTAAGCTGTCATCAACTGATTCAAATGCCATAAGACGGCAGTCAGCTGCACAAATAGCAATGTCATCATGATCTTCATAGGCAATCGGTCTTGCTCCAGGCTTTAGCTCTCTTATGAAGAATTCATTAAATGTCTGTAGGTAAAAAGAAACATCAGACCTTAAAAGGAATAAAGTATATCAAATATGCTGATTATGTGGAATGCAAAAAAGCTTTCTCAGTTATGCAAATGCTTCAGCACCATAGAAAGTAAATATTGAACTTGAATGGCAAAGGAAAGAAGCATCCCTTAGAAAAATTAGTGTTTTCCAAATAAGATTACCCCACAATAAGGTTCACGCCAAAAAGATAGCAATTGTTTAGAAAACAAATATTTTCATTAAATTGCTCTAAAGTGCACACTTTTAAGAGAAGAGTGATGGAAATCTAAAAGTTTATGCTCCTCAGAAACACAAAATATGAGTGTCGGACAAGCACCATGACATTTGAGTTTTGACAATGTTCTAATTGCCGTATTTTATGTTTTCTGGTTCATGTTGAAGTCACATGCTTATGATGCTAGTGCCCATGAAAAAGGTTGTCGACACAATTTTTGAATTGAATTAATTTGATTTAATTAAATTGAACTAATCAATTTAAAATTAGCTCAACTTAATCCAACTCAAATCGCCTAAATTGAATCAATTGATTCAATTTAAAAAAATTAATTGGTACAGTTTGGCTTTAAATTCAATAATTTGGGTCAAATTGAACCTAATTAAGTCAAATCAGGTCAATTTTTTATCAATCGCCCCAATTTGGTTAAATTGAATCAATCGATTTATTTTAACTAAATTTATTCATTCAATTCAGCCAAATCAGTTCAAATTAAACCATATCAATTCCAATTCGCTCAACCGTTTACATTTTCACAAAAATTGAACAACCAAATACACATATTAACCTCCTAAACAATTTTCCAAAAACAGGTAGTGAAAGATCAAGCAATGGTGCGTCATAGTGGGTCAGAATCGAGCTTAGTGGTGGCCCCTTTTTTTTTCTTGGTCTAATAATATGCTCAGAGACCACAGCTTACAAGGGCAATTTCATTTGATCATAGTCACATAGGAGCATAATAGTATTCAAACTATTGCCCTTCGTTTTGAACCCAAGAAGTAAGAATCGATGAAGGTGGATTCTTATTATTTCAAAGGAGAAGGGGAAGTAGCAACTTTCTTGGAGGCTGATATCGAGTTGAGAAGGTATATATTCTCAATCCTCTCCCTCTCATTCTCTCTTTCCAATTGAAGCCCAACGCTCATCTCCACATACGACAGCTTCCAAAAACAGAGAGGAGCAGTTCTTCTTATCAAACTAAAGAGTTTGTGTCAACCCTAGGTCAGTCTATCCCCCGAGACCTCTTCTTCTTCTTCTTGTCGACTTCAGTGAGTTGGTAATGATGACGATGTCCAGAACTATCTGAATACTTGCAAGAGATATTCTCCTGCACAATTGTCTTTGTCTCTGCTAGACAAATGCAGTATGGATGGTTTTCCATCAAACAATAGCTCCGAAGAGGTACTTTCTTCAACTTAGGAAGCCTAAATCTTTTGGCCTTTGTGGTTATGCATGCATGACAACCCCATTCAGCCCTCGGCCCATTCAGATCACCTTTGTTGAAATTTCTTAACCCACAACCTCATAGTCCACTCCCTTAATCTATGAAAATTTAGTGTTTTTATATGCATGGTTCTTATTTAAGAGCCCAAGGAAGAAGACAACCGAATCATTTGTTTATGAAATTTGAATTTAATATACTCCAAGCATTGATAGTGTTTGCAAAGAGACTTAATTTAACCTAGATTTGAAATATTTGGCGTAAATATCATTCATAAAGCTACCCAAAAATTTTCATTTTGAGTTTTAAAAGACCACGTTCAATCCACTGGCATGTGTACATTGCAGATGACGTGGCCATGTGGCGAATTATAATCTTTTAAGAATTTCATGAAGTGACACTTTTGTCTTTATGAGGTTGTATTTTATTTTAGAGAAATCAATTCTGCTCTTATAAATAGGATGGTCATTCTTGTTCATCTCCACTATTCAAGTTCAAAATCATATAGTTCCATACGGTTGAGTACTCTAACAAGGAGGAGGTTCTGTTTATTCTCTTGGCGAGCTTTTAAATCTGTTGCAAGTCACCTTGCTTGCAAAAAAGTTGCTTACTTCATTGCAAGCTCCCTGTAAGTCTATTTGATGTTCAGTATTTGTGATTTTTATTCATCTGTTGAGTCATACGGATGGCAGAGATGATGCAGGTCTATTTCTAAGAGCGATATGCAAGCAGGAAGAGCCGTTACTAGGCTTCCAATTGCAGCAAGGATCCCTAGATTAGAGCCACAGTCCACCACCATGTGTATTTCCAAGAATGGATCCTAAAATAGGGAAGAGCAGGCCGCCACCTGGATTTTTTAAATAATTAAGCTACCAATTTCCAAAATAGATACAAGACTTCCAAAAAAAATAAGGGTTCTATTAATCAAAACATGAACTCCATGAGATGATCTAACAACCTCACTCTTCTTTGCTTTTAAGAAATAATCTATACGGATTGGACACGTGCAAATAAAGAAAAAAGAGTTTTGTACACACTGACGGAGCAAGAAATATTTTTAGTAGGGGGCATAAAAATTAATTTTAATTTTTGACAGAATAAATTGAACATTTACAAAGAAAACATCAAATAATAGTGGCAAGTTAATATCTAGCTACCAAGGGGATGCACATGATTAACAAGAACAACCTTAAATTTTCCCTTATTTATGCAAATTGAATTCAATTAGATATAGTACTACAACTGCACCGTACGTAATTTCAAGCCGCTACATAGTTGAGAAAAATGATAAAAGAAAACTATTTGTCATTGTACAAGAACCTTGAAAGAGTCAATGGGATGCTTGATCTCGTCAATATTAATTTGATCCTGCTTGTAAAAAATGTAAAGAATAAATTAGTAGCAGCAAATGAATATGACATAAGTCCAACAAAAGGACATTCCATCGTAATGGCATCGATGAAAATTGCTTACAAAATAAAACAATCCAAACCAAGCATTTATTTTAAGATAAACTTCATTGAAAGTGTGGTGAACTAAATTAGTTCATATTTCAGTTTAAGTATGCATCTCTAAAATTTAAGGGTGGCATAAAGGAGTTTTTAATGAAATAGAGAAAGATGAAGTCCAGTCCAAATGCACCATCATGCCAAGAACACCACATTCTTGTTGGCTCATTCCTTCTGGCTCATTTGGTGTTGAAATAATAGGAAAAAATAGAAAGCCAGAATCCACTGAGCTGTCAGCTTTGATTAATATAAAATCCTAATAGATCGTCTCTGCTTGTAGATAGTAACGGATTGGTAGGGTGGATTAAAGTAAAGATGTACTAATTGCTAATAAAAATTCCATTTCAAATTGAGTCATTAATGGATTCAATGACAATTATATGATTTAATTCAACACCAAATATTTCTCAAACTGATGAGGCAAGTATTGTAAAACCCGAAATCGATAATCGTAGGCGTCGCACGCATTTCGATGCATCGCGATGAAATTTAAGTGAAAATTTAATGTCATCGGAATTCGACGGAATAAATTTTATAAAATTTTAGGCAAAATTTAAAACAATTTGATATAAAGAACATATAGTCAATTTTGCTTAATTTTGAAGTTAAAAATATTAGAAGTTTTGGTATACCTAAAATACTCTTATTTAAATTAAAACTAAAAACATAATGAGAGGGACCCAGTTAAGACTTTTTGCATATAACATTAACCCTCATCTCTCTTGAGGGGACTGAATGAAATTCGGTCCCTATTATTTCGTTCGGCAGAGAGACGAAGGGGGAGGCTGAGACAAGAGGGAGGCGCACGGGCAGGAGCTTTTCGACGGGCGGCGGTTTCCGACGAAGAAATTTGGGGAAATTGTAGAGGAGACTAAAGAGAAGACTTAGGTATGATTTATTTAAGCAGTTCTCCATTCCCCGCAAAGTTTTCTTAAGAAATAAATTTTAGGGTTTCTCCAAAAATGAGTTTTCTTTCAAAATCTCTTCACGAAATCAATAAGGATAGGGAGGATGTTTTAATGATAAAAACCAAGTTTCTCTCAAATTTCTTTTGAGATTGAAAAATTAGGGTTTCTCTCAAAAATTTAAATTCCTTAAAGAGCGTTCACAAAAATGTTTCATATGGATCCTAAGAGTTTCTAAAATGAAATTTTAGGATTTTTCAAGAATTTGTATTTTTCTAATTTTTTATTAAATTAATCTGAAAATACACTAACCTAATTATAAATTAGGTTTAAGGAGAGATTTGGAATGATTTTGAAAGGGAATTTATGACTTAAATGTTTCCAAAAAAATTAATAATTATTTAATCCGAAAATGAATTTTTAATTTTTTTTTTAAATGGATGAAGGAGGGAAAAGCTTTAAGGAACATAAAATTTATTTATATCTTATTTGAATGTCAGGTTGTGATCAATAAGGGTAGCGACGAGTGTCAAAGAGACACTATACGAATTTGTTGTACTTGTGTTAAGGTAGTTACTCATATCTCTTATAAAAATTTCATATGATGCTCTGCTCTTTATATGTAATGCAAGTTTTTTTTTTAAGTTTTCAAAGTTTATGTTATTTACAAATTATGTTTTGAAAATAACTTGTTAGTAAAGTCTCTATATTTCATTATGTTACTAAGCTTACATGATATGGTTTATTCATGATTTTCATATGTTAATCTTATGATTTATTATTCATGATAGTTTTCATTAAGTATATGATTGATTGAAAAATAGTTTATAAGTTCATGATATGAAACTGTGCATGTTGCTCAAATGGTAAAAGAGCTCTTCACAGCCAAATGGTAAATGGGCTCTTTAGAGCCAATGGTAAAGGAATGGTCAAATAAATGAATATGTGTACATGATCAGTACAAACTCTATGGATGCTTCCGAGATTAGTGTTATTGTAAATACTATACATATTAATGTTTATATTTGTTTTCTATGCATATTAAAAGTTTGTTTGAGGAAATGTTATGAAAAATCTTTTATTCATAAAGGTTTTGAATTTATTCAGTAATGGATGTTATTTAAAGTTTTCACATGATGGTTGTTTTTCATATAAAAATGTTTTAATATTGTTTTATGAAATTTTTATGGGAAATATGAATTACCTGTTGAGCAAATAAGCTCATCCCTTGTTGTGGGATTCTTTTTCAGGAGAACCATCTAGGAACTGATGGCAGAGAGACAGTTTACTTGCCGTCGTAGGACTGGACGGAGACGGAGTGAGGGGTTTTTCTTTCAGTTTGTGTGTGTGTGTAAGGCATAGATTGTATGTTTTAGGACCTTTGGGAATTGTTGTATTGACTTATTTAGTGTTTGATGTGCGGAGTGACAAGTTTTTCTTTCAGTTTGTGTGTGTGTGTAAGGCATAGATTGTATGTTTTATGAACTTTGGGAATTGTTGTATTGACTTATTTAGTGTTTGATGTTATTGAAGACTTGTAGAAGAGAAAATAATATATATATGGTTTAGTGGCTCTTTTATGTCATATTTGAATATACATCATACAGGTTTATATGAGGGTGAAAGTTAGTTTATATTGTTCATCGTATGACTGTTTGTTCCCGCCTCGTCTTTGCGAGCTTACCAGGTCGGATCGTGACAAGTATGGGAATAGATATCTTGTTTTATGTCCGTAAATGCCATATCGAATCATTATGTTGTCACAAATTACAAGGATGACTATGGCGTATCTTCGGTGGGAGGTAAAGCACAAAATCTAATTGAAATAGATCTGGAAAGAGAAAAAGTTTTGCTAGCTAAACAATTATTGGGTGACATTTATAGACAGTGGGATTAAATTCTACGCTACAATAAAATTTCAAAAGCGCCTCACACCCAGTTCTAAAGAGAAGCCAAAAAATATCAAGCATTATGTTAGAAAGAAGGTTCTAATATCCAGTGTTTAGATATACTAACAAATCATACAAAAAGAGTGAACGCTCAAAACATTAACTCCTTTTGCTCAACTTATACCTCTGTTTCTCTGTCCACTCAAGCCTTAAATTCTCTAACAGCTGGATGTGGAGTTATTGTTGAGTCAAATTGAATATCTCTCCAAGCATCTATTCATTAAACTTTTCTTTATTTATTTTTTATTAATTGACCTTCTCTCTACTCAGTGTTACTTCATAAAGATAGGAACTTGGAATGTTTAAGGTTTGGGTGGTAAATTTTATAAAAAAAGATTTTGGAATGTATTCTGCTCTGTACAACTTGGCATTATCTACCTGGAAGAAATTAAGTTGACAATTCCTACTATCAAATCCATTGGAGGTGATATAATTAATAATTGGAAAATTCTCAATGCTAATGGGAGGACTAGACGCATTATCTGTAGTTGGAATTATGGAATTCTTAATATTTTGAATTCCTAAATCGATACTTTATCTATCACAGTTTTCTTCCACTTGAAAGTTATTCAACTAAATTTTGTTTTCACTATTACTGCCCCATATTGCTTCTGGGATGAGGTAAAAGCTGTTGGATCTAGCTAGTCTTCTACTAGAATTTTTGTGGAGACTTCAATGACAGTATCTCTATTGATGAGATTACAATAATTTCAAGCCTCCCTCTGATCTTTTTATTGAAACCATTCATGACTTAAATTAAATTGATCTACCATTGCAGGGAAGGAATTAGATTTTTGCTACTTCTTTATCTCCCCTAGTATTGATGATGTCTTCCTAGTTGTGGTCAAAACGCACTTAGCAAATTATTCTCCGGTCATTGATTATTTTCAACTCTAATCAGAATCCCTTGTACAAATCTCATATCTTTCACTTCGCAAACCATTGGTTTTTGCAGCGATGGTTTTACTAAAATGCTCACTAGCTGTTCGAAAGGCTTTCATGCCGATGCTGGTGGGGCTGAAAGGAGGATCTACAAACTCAAGCTCACAAAGAAAAAACTTAAGGAATAGAGAAAACTCCAACTTGGGCCAATCTAAAATAGGAAAAAAATGGATGTGAATCAACAATTAGAAGAATATGAAATATTGGCAAAGAACAAGCTTTATTCTTTATATTGAGGGGGGCAATAACACTTCTTTCTGTCACAATTTTGCCAACAGTGAACATAAGAATAACTTTATTTATTCAATCTCTAATGAATTTAAGGTTCATTAAGAGCAAAAAAAAAAATTGTTGATGTTTCTAATACCTACTACAGAAAGATATTTAGCCAAATTCTCCCCTCTTTACTCCAATGATGATCCAAATATTTATGAAGGACTGGATTCTCCTTTTTCGATGAAAAAATTAAAGAGGTTATCTTCTCCCTTTGTGGTTGCAAATCATCCAAGCTTTATACCATTTCTAGAAATTTATCTAAACATTGTGACATATTATCCATTCAGTCCTAGAACTTATATTTAAAATATATTTCGACAAAGATTCTCTAGCTAGGCTAGTGTTGCAACATTTGTCGTATTGTAAAAATGTGCATAGTGAATTTCTAGAGATTTTAAGCATATTACCCTCTTGAAGGATGCTATCAAAATCTTCATTAAAACTATCTCCAACAAGCCTAAATCTCTTATGCCCAAGCATGATAATGTCTCTTAAGGTGCCTTTATGTCTAACAAAAGCACAAGCTACACATGTACTAATTCACTCCAACCTTGAGGAAGCAAAAAAATATACATATTTAAAGTTGACTTTGACAAAAAAGGCTTTTGCTTGTTGAGATTGAGTTTCTTTAGATCTGGGATCTTAACTTCTTATGAGCAGGTTGAAGAGAGCTCTCACAGCTTGATATAATTCAATGATAAATATGCAAGTTTCCTGATAAGTTTCTTGAAAAGTGAAAATTGATGAAAGATAGAAGTATGTCTACAGAAGACGGCGCTAAAATAAAA